AAAACCTACCCAACATGTGATTAAACCTATATACGGTTAGCCACCACTTCACTGCAAGTACAGGGGACAGAGGAGGACATTAAACACACCATGGCGATATAATCCGCAAAATCTATTTTTCATTTTTCCATCTGAGTATGCTTGCTAGGGAAAATTTCAGCAAAATCTAGACTGCAAAACTCTACAGGACAAATAACCTGATTTCTTCCACAAATAAGTAGCATGAAAAGTGGTGAAGGGGATATAAATTAAAAGAGATTTAAGAAATACATCAGCCAAGCTCAGTGGCTCATGCCTGTAATCCCAGCACTTTGGGGGGCCCAGGCAGGTGGATGGCTTGAATTCAGGAGTTCAAGACCAGCCTGGACAACATGGGCAAACCCTGTCTCTATAAATATATATATATATATGTGTGTGTGTGTGTGTGTGTATATATATATATATATGAAAATTAGCTGGGCATGATGGCATGTGCCTGTAGTCTCAGCTACTCAGGAGGCTGAGGTGGGAGAATCACTTGAGCCCAGGAAGTCAAGGATACAGTGAGCCGAGATCATACCACCACACTCCAGCCTGGGCAACAGAGCAAGACTGAAAAAAAAAAAAAAGAAAAGAAAGACCTCAACAAACTGCAATGTGCAGCCATATTTAGATACAGGACGAATTCAAACCACTTGCAAAAAAGACACTTGAGAGGTGATCAGAGAAGTGTAAGTGTGAAGGCATACGCAATAGGTTTCAGATGACATGATGGAATTTTTGTTAATGTTGTTGGACGTGATGACAGCACTTATATCCTTATATGTTAAAGATACACACTGAAGCTTTTACAGAGGAGATACGAAGACTGGGATTTGCTACAGGGCAGGGGGTGGCAGTACCTCAAACAAGATGGGCAAACGTGGGTAACTGTTGAAGCTGGGGGACAAGTACGTGCAAATTACACTACTGTTTACTTTTGTGGTGCTTGGAATTTTTCCTAATAAATCCTTCTTAAAATCTGTGGTTCCCCACACTCTCCAACAAGGAGCTTTCCTTTCTATTCAGCCCTTACCCACCTGACTTCTCCCTTCCTCACTTCCTGCCTCCCTCTCCCACAGGCTCCAGCCAGATGCAGTTCTCACCTCCCAGAACCTTCTCTCCTCCTTCTCCTGGCAAAAGCCACTCCACTCATCCGGGAAGCCTACCTGCCCCTGACGTTCTCCGCTCTCCCAGCCCTCTGTACCTTTCCATCCTAGCACCAACCCTGGCAGACCTGGCATGTAGAGGAGTGTCCGTTTCCCATGTGGATCCCACCTTTCTGGGGGCAGAGCCTCCACCTGTCTGGTTCACTGCACAGGACCCCAGGCTGCATGGCCGGGAGCATTGCATTCAACTCTATTCCACTTGTTAACAAGCTGGGTGGCCCTGGGCAGTTTCACTTCACATCTCTGAGCCTCAGGCCATCTTTTCTCATCTGTGAAGAGGGACGATAATAAGAACGCCAGCCTGTTAGGCTGTAAGAATCTATTCACAGTGCTTAGACCATGTCTAGCATAATAAACATTACCCAGTGTCGGGTAGTGTGCCTGGCACAGCATGAACTCCATAAATGTTGGCTGAATGAAGGAATAAATCTCAGAACCTTTCCAAACTCCCTAATTCCTGGCTGGGAAGAGGAAGAGAAGCCACTGAGCACCGTTGGGATCTCAAGGCTTCTGTGGTTGGTTCCAAAGGGTGGAGGGCGCCACCTTGTGGCCATCTTGGGAAACACACATCCAGAAACACAAACCTAGAAACACACACACACCACCTGAGACAGAGCGTGCGTGCGTACACACACACACACACACACACACACACACACACACACAGCCTGAGAGCAGATCCTGAGGATAAATTCTGGCCTCCCCAATGAGGCCTTCCTCGGCCCAGCAGTACACAGGCGAGCTCCTCCGAAGACCGGCGGGGTTCCCCAGCCCCGTGAGCTCCCATAAGGACTGGTCCTCCCGGTCGGCACTTAGAGCTCTGTCCTGGGCTTGCAGCCACAAACAGTGCAAACAGCTGGGAAGACAACAGAGGCTCGGCGCTGGCTGCCTGGATCTAAGGTCCAGCCTAGCCATATTACCCACTATGTGATCTGCACCAAGGTCCCTAACTTCTCTGGGCCTCCGTCAAACGGTGATAATAGCAGTGCCTACCTTATAGGGCGGCTGTGAGGATAAAATGAATTCAATCATAAAGCACAGAGCAGCCCTGGCATACAGTTAAATGTTCAATAATCATTAATTACTGGTGTTATTATTACTAAAAATATTATTAGTCCACAATGAGCCAGGCCTCTCCACGGTAGCGATCAAGCCCCAGATTCATCTCCCCAACAGAACCGAGCACATGAAAGGCATGAATATATAGGCCAAAAGCCTTTGCTTCTTTCACTTCATTCATTCCCTTGTTCTCACCGCATTCCCATCTAGCACAAGGACTTTGCCCAGGCTGTTCCCTCTGCCTACACCACTTCCCCAGCCCCTGTGCCTGACCCACCCCATACCCCAGTGGAGTCCTGTGACAGCCTCGCATGGCACAGGCTCCCTGTCCTGCCCCAGGCATCTCCGTCTGTAATGACATACTCAGGTGGTTATATACTTAGCACCCATCTCCCCCAGGGCTGGGCACCACGTGAGTGGCAGGGACGGGGCTAGCACAGAAGGGGCACCCTGTGAAGGTGGATTCACCTACATAGAGCTCGACCTGCCCGCACCCTTTCACATGCTGCTCTCTTTGCCAAGAACACCCTTCCCATTCCAGGCAGGGTCAGGTCCCCACCCACTCTGAGCCTTCACTGTCTGCAAACACATCTGCCTCCCTCCCTGGACTGGCAGTCCCAGGAGGGCAGTGCCAAGATAGTCTTGGTCACCGCTATGTCCCCAGCACCACCCAGCCCAAAGGTACAGAAGAGGGGCTCAGAGGCCACGCGCAGTGGCTCATGCCTGTAATCCTAGCACTTTGGGAGGCCAATGCGGGCAGATCACCTGAGGCCAAGAGTTTGAGGCCAGCCTGACCAACAGGGCAAAACCCCTTCTCTACTAAAAATACAAAAATTAGCCGGACATGGTGGCACGTGCCTGTAATCCCAGCTATTTGGGAGGCTGAGGAAGGAGAATGGCTTGAACCCAGGAGAAGGAAGCTGCAGTGAGCCAAGATCGCACCACGGCACTCCAGTCTGGGCGACAGAGTAAGACTCTGTCGCAAAAAAAAATGAATAAATACATGGTGGGCAAAGGACAGTCATCCTCCCCACAGGGCCAAGCATGGGCCCTGCAGTGCATGATGGGAGGGTTCCAGGGCTCCCACCCGCCCCAGCTGCCCACCCCTCCGAGACTCACTGCTCCCGCAGGCGCCAGATCTCACTCTCCCGGGTGTCCCGAGTGTTCTGGCCGTCCAGCCCTTGCAGGCGGCCCAGTTCCTCCTTCAGTGACCGGATGATGCCCTGCAGAACCACGGGGTCTGGCTTGCCCTGGTACGGGAGGGGCAGCGGGTAGTGAATCCTGAGGAGGGGGGATTAGAACCATGGCATCTCAGAGGCCAAGAATGCACCTGAGGGTAAACACCAGCCTCTAAGAGCCACAGAATGCGAAAACACACAGTTCCAAAAACTGCACCATCCTAGGGGCTTATGAGCACATCCTCAAGGCCCCTTCCTTGTTCCAGTCACCACCTCTGAAAGTCTCTTATATAACAATTTGGAAACCACTGGGATTGGCAGCCCTGGTGTAGTCTGGGGGAACTTCCTTGTCGCACACTGCTGATGAAGGGAACGCTGGTATCATGTTACTTGCAGCCAAACACAATCCTAATTCAGATGCCACAGTGGGGGATTCTGGTTGGCCTGGCCTGGGTGACCCTGGCTTGGCTGGGGAAAGGTGGGCCATTGTGATTAACAGCCTCATGAGATGCTATTCACAGAGGATTGGTAACTTCCCACTAAGAAATCCAGTGGTTACCAACACATGGGGCAGACACGGTCACCCAGCCACACAACTGCCATTCCCAACTCCCTTGCTGCCTCCCCCTATAAAGGCTAGAAAGCCAGATATTCATTTTCCCAGCATCCCTTGCATGTGACCACTTCTGGCCACATATTACAGGAAATCTGTTGGGAGTCTTCTGGGAACACGTTTCTTTTCCTGATAAAAACAGCAGATGCAATTAATAAACTCAGCCCTGTCCCTCTTCTTCCTGCCTTGATATAGATGCAATGACTGGGGGATCCAGCAGCTATTTTGTGGCCATGAAGAGATAAAGATGAAGTCAAAAGGCCAAGCCAGGCGCGGTGGCTCATGCCTGTAATCCCAGTGCTTTTGAGAGGCTGAGGCGGGAAGATCACTTAAGACCAGGAGTTCGAGATCAGCCTGGGCAACATGACGAAACCCCATCTCCACTAAAAATACAAAAATTGGCCGGGCGCGGTGGCTCATGCCTGTAATCCCAGCACTTTGGGAGGCCGAGGCGGGTGGATCACGAGGTCAGAAGATCGAGACCATCCTGGATAACATGGTGAAACCCTGTCTCTGCTAAAAATACAAAAATTTAGCTGGGCGTGGTGGTGGGTGCCTGTAGTCCCAGCTACTCGGGAGGCTGAGGCAGGAGAATGGCGTGAACCTGGGAGGCGGAGCTTGCAGTGAGCCGAGATCGCACCACTGCACTCCAGCCTGGGCGACAGAGCGAGACTCCATCTCAGGAAAAAAAAAAAAAAAATTAGCCAGGCGTGGTTGTGGGCTCCTATAGTCCTAGCTACTCTGGAGGCTGAGGCACAAGAATTGCTTGAACCTGGGAGGTAGACGTTGCAGTGAGCCGAGATCGCACCACTGCACTCCAGCCTGGGTGACCCAGTGAGACACCGTCTCAAAAAAAAAAAAAAAAAAGCCAACACATTAACAATGGTAAAGGGGAAAAAAAAAAAGAAAGAGCTTGAGTCCCTAGTGAACTGTTGCACAGGTGGCAGCCACCTACCTAGACATCTTGTTATGTGATGCATTGTTTGTTTAGGATACTGGTGATGGTTATTCTGCTATTTGTAGCCAAACACAATACTAAATGATACAAATCCCAACAGGTGAGATTCCCAAGGCAAGGCTTAACCAATGTCACCTTGCCTGGGTGCCAGGACTTCCTAAGATCCACCCACACGCTCTCCCACCCCGCCTACCAGCCTGGCCCTGGAGCCAGTCCCTTCTCCCCACCTGTCAAACTCCACAGAGTAGATGAGGATCAGGTAGCGCTTGGAGTTGAGCTGGGCCGATCTGGGGGCCAAGGAGCCTGGGCGGCCCCCCATCTTGCGGTTCCGCAGGGACTCCAGGTCTGTGTAGGTCAGCAGGTCCAGGGTGACTGACTCACTACTCTGTCAGGAGAGGAGAGGAGGAGCTGCCACGGCACCCGCCACCACCACACTGAGGGCACCTAGCACACACCTGGGCCACAGCCCTTCCTGTTCTCTAGGCGGGCTAGCATTTCCTACGCGAAGGCTGGTGATCAACATGGCCCCGTCCCAGGACAGACACAAGGACTTCATCAAAGGGAGAAACCAGAAAGAACCTAAATGCTCAACCACAGAGAACAGCTTAGACCTGTGACTCTCTGAGTGCTGTCTCCAGATCCCTGGGGGGGGTCCCCGAGACCCTTTCGGGGATGTCCACTGAGGTCAAAGCTACTTTCATAATAATACAAAGATGTCATTTGTCTTTGGCACTGTGTTGACATGTGTGCAAATGGTACAAAAGCAATGGTGGGAAAAACTGCTGGTGCCTTAGCAGAAACCAAGCTCCTGGCACCGAATGACACTGGAGGTTACTGTATCTCCCCAGTCTCAGCGGGGGGCTGGGCAAGAGAAATAAACAAACAAGTAAATAAGCAAATCAACCATAAAACACAGAAAATGAAACATCAGAATGTTCTCGATGAAGCAGTAAAAATTATTAATTTTATTGAATCCAGCTCCTAGAGGACACATCTCTTTATTATGTTGTGCAAGAAAATGGGAAGTACACATCAAGTACTTCTGTGCACGCCAAAGTAGGACGATGGTCTCAGGAAAAAGCGATTCTGCATCTAAGTTTTGAGCTAAATTAGCCGTTTTTCATGGAACACTATTTTTACTTGAAAAAAAAAAAAACGACTGACAGACAAAACTATGGTTATTTAGACTTGGACTATCTGGCAGACATTTTCTCAAAAATGAACAAAGTGAGCCTGTCACTTCAAGAGCAACAGCTAACAGAATGTCTTGCCAATAACAAAATTCAAGCTTTCTACTTCAAATCAGAATTCTGGAAAACCTGTGCCTTCCACTGGGTGTTTCATAGCTTCTTGGTGTTCACAGACTTTCCTGGGGAGAGCGGTGAGGATATTAACAAATGTGACTTCTGGATACTATATAAGGCAATGTGTCAACATTTGAAAAATCTGCGCAACTTAGTGAACCAAGATTTTCCAAATGACCAATGCATGATGTTACAAAGTCATCCACAGGTAAAAAAAAGATCTATGCAAAATGCAAGATAAGTCAGTGGAATTTAAGGTAACAATACAAAAAGTTCACTGATGAGGATGCAGATTCCACACTGCAACTAACCTTCAAGAAACTATCGCTTGTCCAGGCGGGCGCGGTGGCTCACACCTGTAATCCCAGCACTTTGGGAGGTCGAGGCAGGTGGATCACTCGAGGCCAGGAAGTCAAGACCAGCCTGGCCAAGATGGCAAAACCCCATGTCTACTAAAAATACAAAATTAGCCGGGCATGATGGCACATGCCTGTAATTCCAGCTACTCGGGAGGCTGAAGGACAAGAATTGCTTGAACCCGGGAGGCAGAGGTTGCAATGAGCCACTATTGTGCCACTGCACTCAAGCCTGGGCGACAGAAACGGTGTCTCAAAAAAATAAATAAATAAATACAAAAATTAGCCGGGCATGGTGGGCACGCCTATAGTCCCGGCTACTTGGGAGGCTGAGGCATGAGAATCACTTGAACCCAAGAGGCGGAGGTTGTAGTGAGCTAAGACTGTGCCACTGAGTCTGGGCAACCGAGAAAAACTCTGCCTCAAAAAAAAAAAAGAAAAAGAAAGAAAGAAAAAAGATATCTAAATACCACTCAACCCCATCACTCTAAGTTCTAACCTTCTTTTTTTCCCCCGATTATTACTTTTTAGGTTGGGCACTGTGGTTCATGCCTGTAATTGCAACACTTTGGGAGGCCAAGGTGGGTGGATCACCTGATGTCAGGAGTTCCAGACCAGCCTAGTCAACATGGTGAAACCCCATCTCTACTAAAAACACAATAAATTAGCCAGGCATGGTGGCATGCACCTGTAATTCCAGCTACTCAGGAGGCTGAGGCAGGAGAATCGCTTGAACCTGGGAGGCGGAGGTTGCAGGGAGCTGAGATCCCACCACTGCACTCCAGCCTGGGCAACAAGAGCGAGACTCCATCTCAAAAAAACAAATAAACAAACAAACAAAAACAAGCAGGTTGCAGAATACCTTGGAAAACAGGTAAACTATATATAATTACAGGTCTGCAAATACATACACACACACACACACACACACACACACACATACACGCAGATATTTGGAAACAAATAGAGACATGGAGAAATGGCTGGAGTGATTTTCACCGAAATATTAACAGAAGCGAGTATTAGGGATGGAGTGATTTTTACTTTCTTCTTTGTATTTCTCTGTGACCTGAATTTTCTACATGAGAATAACTATCATTAAATTCAAAATGAACCATTTACATTTGGCAAAAGAAGAAAACGATCACCCTCTTCCCACGATGAAAGAAGAGGTAGAGGGTCTGATACACATCAGTTGGGCATCAACCCCCCAGGAACCTGGAAGACAGAACCCCCCTCCCACCCGCACCCACCACCCCGGGCCCTACCTGAGTGAGGGCTGACTCCAGCATATGACAGAAGATGTTGAATTGTTTGAAGTTCCCTGTCTTGTGAGTCAAATCTTCAATGACTGGGTGGGGAGAAAAGTCTCTCCTGAGGTCTGACGGCTTGCCCAGCCCCAGGGCAAGGCATCTAAGCTCTCCAACTCTACCCAACTCCAGTGTCTCTGGCTTGAGCACCAAGACCTACGTCCCTCCCCACACTGGAGAGCTTCTGGAGCTAAATTCTGCTCTCTGGTGGGTTTTATAACCACATAGAAGAGGCGGGTGGGCAGGATTCAGGGTGGCCTCATCTTCTGGGAGAAGCTGATCCCAGGAGAGGAAAAGTGAGCCCACCCCAGGCAGGCACACTCACAGCCAGCATCGAACTCGCCCCGCCACTGGTCAGCCGTCATCCGGTCCTCCACCTCCAGCTCCAGCACCTGCCCAGAAACCATCACCCGCACGGCATGCTCCACACCCCGGAAGACGTAGTCCACCTGCAGGCCGGCCGGCTGGTCCATGGTCAAGGTTGCTGGAGAAGGGGATGAGAGAGAAACCCAGAGGAGCTGAGAGCCCAGGCTCACGAGCTGGAAGGCCAGGCCTCATATCCTGGCTCCATCATTTACCAGCTGTGGCATCCTGGGAAAGCGAATTCACCTCTCTGTGCCTCAGTTTCCTCATCTGGAAAATGGGTATAACCATGGCACCAACCTCGTGGACTTATTGTGAGGATTACACTGGGCAATATGTATAAAAGCTCTTGGTACTGTGACCTGCAGGCTGCTGTGTCCAATACATGCTGGATACTAGAAATACATGATTGCCAAGCCAGGCGCGGTGGCTGACACCTGGTATCCCAGCACTTTGGGAGGCTGAGGCAGGAGGATCGCTTGAGCTCAAGAGTTCAAGACCAGCCTGGGCAATGTGGTGAAACCTCATCTCTACTAAAAATACAAAAAAATTGCCAGGTGTAGTGGTGTGTGCCTGTGGTCCCAGCTACTTGGGAGGCTGGAGGCAGAGGTTGCAGTGAGCTGTGATCTTGCCACTGCACTCCAGGCTGGGTGACAGAGACCCCAACTCAGTTAAGAAAAGAAAGAAAAGAAATAAAGAAATACATGATTGCCAACAAAAGAATCATGATTAATATTAGCATTACTTTATTAAGTCTTATTATATATTTATTATTGATTCATTCATTCATTCATTCAGCAAACATTTGTGGAGAAAAGTCAAGCTGGAAAGAGGGATGGGGGTATTGGAGTAGGATGAGCCAAACTTTTAAAAGGGGGTCAGAGCAGGCCAGGTGCAGTGGCTCAGGCCTGTAATCCCAGTACTTTGGGAGGCCGAGGTGGGTGGATCATGAGGTCAGGAGTTCCAGACCAGCCTGGTCAACAATGATGAAACCCCATCTCTACTAAAAATACAAAAAAAATTAGCCAGGTGTGGTGTCCCACGCCTGTAATCCCAGCTACTCCGGAGGCTGAGGCAGGAGAATCGCTTGAAGCCAGGAGGCGGAGGTTGCAGTGAGCCGAGATCGTGTCACTGCACTCCAACTGGAATACAGAGAGACTCCATCTCAAAAAAGTAAAATAAAATAAAGTTTAATATCAGAAAATATAATATTGTGAGGCAAAAAAAGATGATCCCTGAAACTCCAGGTAAGGGATTTTTACCCTTTTTAGAGTCCTTGAGCCTTTGAGAATCTAATGAAATTTCTGAGCCTTCCGCAGATAAATGAATAGTCCCACAACCTTTTGCAAGTTCATTTCAGGGGCTCCCAAATTACCACCCGCCAGGCCCATCCATAGATCTCTTTTCTCAGAGGCCCAAGGGCAATGGCCTGGGCCCTAGACATCCTGACAGACACTTCTCTCTAGATCACAGCTCTTAACTTCATTTGGGAGAAGAGTGCTTTGGAAGGGCTGAGGAATTCGGGGACCCCCTTCCCCTGGAAAATTCACACTCTGGCAATTGTGCTTTCATTCTCTGGTGGTTCATAAGTCCAGGTTAATAATTTCTATCTCGGCCGGGTGCGGTGGCTCCCAGCACTTTTGAGAGGCCAAGGCGGGCACATCATTTGAGGTCAGGAGCTTGAGACCGGCCTCGCCAACATGGTGAAACCTCGTCTCCACTAAAAATACAAAAATTAGCTGGGCGTGGTGGCAGGCACCTGTAATTCCAGCTGCTCGGGAGGCTGAGACGGGAGAATCGCTTGAACCCATGAGGCGGAGGTTGCTGCACGCCGTCGTGCCCTTGCACTCCAGCCTGGGTGACAGAGCAAGATTCTGTCTCAGAAAAAAAAAAAATAAATAAATAAAAAATAATAATCTCAATCTCGCTGCAAACAAATTGCTGCACGTTTCAACATCTCCCACATCCCCTGATCCCAACGCAGTGAGTGGCAGAGCTGGCCCCGCCCCACTGGGTGTCCTAAACCCCGCCCATCAACCCGACCCCCTACGGCTCCCAGAACCAATCAGCGGCGACGCCGCCGGGTTACCAAGGCGTAGGAGGCACCCACGCAACTGAACACCTGAGGAGCCGCATAGCATCACCGCCCCCACTTGTGGTCCCCAACTCCCGGGAGGAGACCGCACAGAGGAAGGGGGCGCGCCACACCGCATCCCCGCCGCCAACTCCCCCTTCCCCACTGCCCGGCAGAAACCCCCCATATCCACCCCGCGAAGACCAGCCCCTTTCGGCATCCCACGGCCTTATCCTTAGCCCCCACCCCGCCCTCATCCCAGACATTGAGCCCCCGAATACTCTGCCTAAACTCAATTCCCCTTGCACACTTACACCTCTCTCACCTCCACAAACTTCACCGGCTGCCCGGCCCCATCCCCTCCTCTAGGCATATCCTAAGCGCTCAGTAACTGCTGATGGAATAAATCCCACACCCGTGCCCGCTCCACACGGCCTCCTTGACCCCAGCTGCCCGTCACTTGTCCCACAGATGGCCACGGAATTCTGGGCTCCCTCTCCCCTCTTCTCTGCAGAACCTCCCACTCCACATATTCCAGCCCAACCCTCATGTTACATTCCCCAGAAACCAGCCCCCTCTTTCCCGTCCAAAGCCCCTTCATTCCATCCTGCTCTCCCAGATTTGGGGGCAGGGAGGCAGCCGCACTCTCCTCCCTACACCAGCCAACCACGGTCTCCTAGGGCTCCCGCATATTGAACTTCAATGCACCCCGTTATTCCACCTGCATTCTTCCCGCATATTTGCTCAAGGTTCTGCTCCACACACCCCACTTTCAGCCTGTATTCCATCACCTCCATATTTCACCTGGATTCTGTTCCCTCTCAAATTGCTTGTAACCCCACCCCCACCCCCACTCCACCCACACACACATTTTCCACTTCTCTTCCCTTTGGAGAGCCCTCTCTGAACAACCCCTCCTCCCCACTGACCCCACCACCACCGCCACTTCTAGGATTCCCCGGACCCTGAGCCCTCTCTCCCCTCCCACCGCTGACCCTGTCCCTCTACCTGCATCCTCCATCCTTGCTTCGGAATGACCAGTGGTTCATCCTGGTGGCTGATTTCATTCCAGTCCTGAGCCTCTCCCAGCTAGCTCCTCTTCTCAGCCTCTGCCTCCTTCCTGACCTCACGCATCCCAGCGGTGCCTTCGAGGCCCCGCCCTCACCAACCCATGACGTCACCACCCCATCCCTGCGAGCACTGTGCGGCTGCCCCCCAGGCCCCATCCTGGCCCACACACCTGACCCAGTTCTCGGGCCTCATGACATCACGGCGCCGGCACACTTAAACTGAGTGTTTCAGCCCCCAGTTCTCTCCCTCTCATCATTCACTAGGATGACCCCTTTCCCCTCCAGTGTTACATCACCACCCCTGGCTCCACCTTCCAAATGGCTCTCCCCGGATAGCTCACAGATTTCACAGCTCTTACCCCGGGGCTGGAGCTGAAAACTCTCCACGCTGCGCTCACCAAAGACAAATTTACATCACTACCTCCCATACCAGACATGGGCAAATCACTGCCCTTGGCAGCCCCCACCTGATGGCTGTTTCCCCACACTCTGCAGCTCCCCACCACCACCAACACATATTCCAGCCCAGTCATACCCTAGCTGGGCTCTCCCCTGCAGCAGACCTCCGCCCCACATTCACACACGAGGCCTGGCCTGGATGACCCCCTTCCCGATCCCATTCTGACCTCACCTCCCCACCACGTGGGTGAATTGAGGCTGGATAGAACTCCCCCTTCACTGCCCCAGAATACAGACCAAAGCCTTCCACATTGTCCCCATGGAATGTAGAGACAGAAAAGCCCTCTGGGGAACCAAGCAATGAAATCTCTACAGTGTACACTGCGGCACCCCAGTTCCCCCTGGGGCATCCAGACTCCCTCTCCCTCTGTCTCTCAAAGGCGTTTTGCCTTAGATAAGAACCATGCACACTTAATAACCCAATGAATGACTCACCCTAAATTCTGCTCTCTGCTGGGTATTATGACCATCCCCATTATACAGAGGATAAAACTGAGGCTTGTCTAGGATCCCACAAAGGACAGAAACATTCGTCCTCCTTCCCCTTACCCAGCTCCCCTTCCCTGACCACCTCCTGTTTCCTCCCAGAACTAACCCAAATGCGGCCTCACACCTTAAGCATAGCACATGCTGCACACTGGGTACTTCTGCGTTCAGATTCCAGCTGCCTTTATCCTTCGTGTGTCCTTGGGCAAAGCACTTGCCCTCTCTGGGTCTTCCCCCATCAGTAAAGTGGGATAATAAGAGCTCCTACCTTACAGGGTTGCTGTGGAATTAAACTATTTAATGTATATAAGGTGCTTCAAACAGTGTCTGGCACTCCCTGTTACCATCTGTGTGATCTGTTGATTATGTGACAGACCAGGAGCCCGTGAGGGGCAGAGCCATTTTAATCCATCTTGTATCTTCAGGGACTGCTTGTGAATTTAATGGGAGATGCCAGGAAATGGGGTTCTAGGCACTGGGGATACAGCCAAGTTTTTCTCCCCTCAGCTCATTCCCTGTCCTCCTCCAGGTCTCAGCTCCAATCCCCTCTCCTGCACTGCAGGAAGCCCTCCCTGACTCCCAGGCTGGGCCAGGAGGTGTCTCAATCACCACGGTGGCCCCAGCAAACTCCGAACCAGCTAACAGTGTTTCCCACAGTGATGGCCAGGGAACATAATCCTTACCACAAGTGCTTCTGAAAATGCAGCTTCCTAGGTCGGGTCCCAACCATACACAAGCAGAAACCCTGGGGGTGGGCCCAGGAATCTGCATTTCCTCCCACTTCCTTCAGACACTAAAGGTTCCTTCTGCCCTTGGGTGCCACAATCTGTCCAGTTTATTCCCCCACCTCTGACCCCACCACCCCACACAGGACCCTCCTAGTTCAGCAACCCCGCCCCATATCACCCTCACCAAGGATGGTGAGGATGGTACAGGAGAAGCAACACTTTTTAAACACCATGTGCTCTTCCAGGTGCCAGGTTCCATATTCACATGGAGTCAGACACACTAGTGGGGAGGTCCAAAAAGCCCAGTGGATATAAACCAACAATAATTGATGTGAGGGCCAGGCGCGGTGGCTCATGCCTGTAATCCCAACACTTTGGGAGGCTGAGAAGGGCAGATCACTTGAGGTCAGGAGTTTGAAACCAGTCTGACCAAGATAGTGAAATGGCATCTTTACTAAAATTACAAAAAATAGCCAGGCGTGGTGGTGAACACCTGTAGTTCCAGCTACTTGGGAGGCTGAAACAGGAGAATCACTCGAACCTGGGAGGTGTAGGTTGAGTGAGCTGAGATGGTGCCACTGCACTCCAGCCTGGGTGACAGAGGGAGACTCCATCTCAAAAAATAATAATAAGCTGGGCGCGGTGGCTCACGCCTGCAATGCCAGCACTTTGGGAGGCCGAGACGGGCGGATCACGAAGTCAGGAGATCAAGACCATCCTGGCTAACACGGTGAAACCCCGTCTCTACTAAAAATACAAAACATTAGCCGGGCATGGTGGCAGGTGCCTGTCGTCCCAGCTACTCAGGAGGGTGAGGCAGGAGAATGGTGTGAACCTGGGAGGCAGAGCTTGCAGTGAGCTGAGATCACACCACTGCACTCCAGCCTGGGTGACAGAGCGAGACCCCATCTCAAAAAAAAAAAAAAAAGTAATAATAATAATAATAATAAGTGGCTCACGCCTGTAATCCCAGCACTTTAGGAGGCTGAGCTGGGCGGATCAGCTGAGGTCAGGAGTTCGAGACCACCCTGGCCAACATGGCAAAACCCCATCTCTACTAAAAATGTAAAAATGAGCTGGGCATGGTGGCATACACCTGTAATCCCAGCCAGTTGGGAGGCTGAGGCAGGAGAATCACTTGAACCCAGGAAGTGGAGGCTACCGTGAGCTGAGACTGCACCACTGCACTCGAGCCTGGGTGACCAAGCAAGAGTCTGTCTCAAAAATAATACTAATAATCATCTATGTCAGGTAGTTGTGTTATGAACAAAAATAAAACCAAGTGAGGGGCCACACGGTGACAGGAGTTATTTTAGCTTGAGTAGTCAGCAAATGCCTGACTGTGAAGCTGACATCTGAACGGAGACCTGAAAGAGGCGTGGGAGAAGCCACGCAGACACCTGAGAAGACCTGATTCAGAAGGAGAGGACAGCGAGTACAAAGGCCCTGAGGTGGCAATGTGTTCGTTATGTTCAAAGGACAGCAAGGAGGCCAGGGTGGCTGCAGCAGAGTAAGCCAGGGGACTGAGAGAGGTGATGGGAGTTGAGGGGAGGGAGGAGGAGGAAACCAATAGGTCGGGGCCTCGTGGATATGGTGAAGACTTCTGCAGTGTAAGGTGGGAGCCAGGACAGGATTTGAAAGGAGGAGCAACCTGACCTGACTTCTGTTCTACTAGGATCCCCCTAACAGTGAGAGGCAGGGAGCCCACCTGGAAGGCCACTGCAACAGACCAGATAAGAGCAGGGGACAACTTAGGCCAGAGTGGTAGCAAAGGAGCTGGTGAGGCGTGGTTGGATTCTGGATGTGTTTTGAAAACAGAGCTAATGCGATCTGCTAGACCATATATAAGTGAGACAAAAGGGAGGAATGAAGAACACTCCAAGCTAGGCGGGCACCATGGCTCACACCTGTAATCCCAACACTGCGGGAGGCTGAGGCGAGTGGATCGCCTGAGGTCAGGAGTTCGAGACCAGCCTGGCCAACTTAGTGAAACCCCTTCTCTACTAAAAATACAAACAATTGGCAGGCGCCTGTAATTCCCTTGAACCCAGGAGGCGGAGGTTGCAGTGAGCCGAGATAGCGCCATTGCACTCCAGCCTGGGCAACAAGAGCAAAACTCTGTCTCAAAACAAAGAGAACACTCCAAGCTTCCTGATCTTAGTACCTGGCAGGATGAATGTGCCATCAACTGGGTTTGGAGGTTGAAAGGAAGAAACCTCAAGTTTGGTTTGAGACAAGTTTATGTCTGAATGTCAGATGAACTTCCAAATAGAGAAGAGTCGGCCACGATACGAGTCTGGAGTTCAGGGCAGAGATCCAGGCTGGAAATACACAGCTGGGAGTTCTCATTAGATAAAGAGGGTGAAGCTAGCCAATGGTATAGAAAGAGATGAGGTCATTCTACCGATGATGAAGCTGAGGCACAGAAGGGTTAAACAACTCGCCCAAAGCCGGCAGAGCCAGGATTCAAATTCGGAATTCAACCCGACGCCACAGCCCACACTCTTAACCATCAGTAGAGTAAGTTTAAGAGTTAATTCACCTAAAACACTTGGCAGGTGCACAGCATGTAGTAAACGCCACAGGCATAATAGGGCTTCATATCTCTTTAAAGTACATCCTTATCCCTGGAGGTCTCCTTCCCTACCTTCCTCAATATTGCTTCTTCCCACGACTTTCACCCAAATCAAAAGCTTGTAAATTACAGTGCCCTGTAATGACCCCCTGCTTTAAAACCTCCTACTAAATCGCCACGCTGCATTTCAAGGGCATCTGTATATTCTACCATCTGCTGTCTCCTGCTTTACAACTTTCCCCATTGAAGACCCTCCTGCGATATACAGATCACCCCTAACTCACACGCTGCGCTCAGTCTCACAACACCTCAATCAAGCACCTACCCTTGTTAAAGGGCACCCTCCCTCCTGATTCCGACAAGGCCGGGTCAGCTGCCCACCGCAGGCCACTCTCCCCAGAGAGAACCCCCTCCCCTCCCCGCAAGACCTCCACCACGGCCCGCGCCCCCGCCACTCCGGCTGCCTCTCACCTTCTCCACTGGCAACCCTCCTCGCGAGCGGTTCAACTGACGAAGCTCCAGCCCCGCCCCAGAATCCTGCGTTCTCGCTTCTGATTGGTCATGTCTTACAAGCAGCCAAGTTTCCATTAGCCAAAAGAGACACTCGTCACTCTGTCCCGCCCCAGAGGAGAACCCGCCCTCCAAAGCTTCCAATTGGCTAACTTGGAAGAGGCGTTCCGAACCATTTTGAGGGAAGCACCTACCGTCGGGCTCTTCTCTAATCACTACTGGTTAATAATGCTGCCAGTCATACAAAAGGGTTGTTCCCCAGAGTGGAAGGGAAAGAATCCCGGAAGCAGCCCCTTGGCTCCGCTTGTTACCCGCTAAGGGAGGGTAGGCCGCGCCCACGTGGTGGGGAGGGCCTGGAAGGGAGAGCCGGGTGTGCACGCGCCTGGGGAGATAGTGGCCGCGGCTCCGGAAACTGGGGAGTGGTCTCAGCATAAAGACAGGTTGAGATTTGTCGTCGCTCGGTGCATTCCAAACCTGCACTAAGCATTTTGCAGGCCTTGGCTTGTTTAAACTTTATAATTAGCCCTGCAGAGTTGTTATGATTTCCATTTTACCACTAAGAAAACTGTCTCAGAGGGGTACAGCCACTAGCCCGGGATCACTCGGCTTTTGAACGACCCATATTTTAAACCAATCAGTCATGAACTGGAAGGATCCAGCTAAAGGAACTGAGCGCGGGGATGGGGGAGGAGAGCCCTCTTTAAGAAAGGAAAACAAAGTTTAAAGAAAAAAAAATACTGTATGATATGAAAGTTTACTTAGAATATGAAATAATAACAAATTACATATTTAAAAGAGCCAAATACCACAAACATTGCAAAATCCCAAAGGATAACGTAATGTTTTTATTAATTTTCTGCCTGACACAACTGTGTGACGTTTCCTACTTTTTCAGCTGCATGTTTCACAATATCCTTGTCTACAAAGAGAAAAGTAAGTTATCTTTCCTCTAGCGTGGTTGATGGAACTTTTTAAAAATTCATTATAATTTAGAACAAGTTTCAGCTTCACAAATCAGTATTGGTGATGTTATCTAAATCTTTTGCAAATCTAAAAAAACTTTTGACCTGGCGCGGTGGCTCACGCCTGTAATTCCAGCACTTTGGGATTTGCCGCGGCAGGTGAATCACGAGGTCAGGAGTTCGAGACCAGCCTGACCAACATGGTGAAACCCTGTCTCTACTAAAAATACAAAAAAATTAGCTGGGTGCAGTGGCAAACGCCTGTAATCCCAGCTACTCAGGAGACTGAGGCAGGAGAATCGCTTGAACTCGGGAGGCGGAGG